CTGTTTTAAGGTCTTGATATGTATTAACTCATTTAATCCTCACAACAAACTTATGAGGTGAACAACAATGATAGATTGGACAAAGAAAATGTGGCACATATACACCATGGAATACTACACAGCCATAAAAAACGATGAGTTCGTGTCCTTTGCAGGGACATGAATGGTTCTGGAAACCATCATTCTCAGCAAACTGACACAAGAACAGATAATCAAACACCATATGTTCTCACTCACAGGCGGGTATTGAACACTGAGAACACGTGGACACAGGGAGGGGAGCATCACACACTGAGGTCTGTTGGGGGGGGTAGGGGAGGGACACCAGGGGAGGGGAAGATGGGGAGGGATAATGTGGGGAGAAATGCCAGGTATAGGTGATGGGGGGATGGAGGCAGCAAACCACCTTGCCATGTATGTCCCTATGCAACAATCCTGCATGATCTGCACATGTACCACAGAACCTAAAGTACAAAAAAAAAAAAAACAAAAAAAAACTTAAGGGGTGAGTACTATTTTTATCCCCAATTCATAGATGAAAAAACTGAGGCACAAAGAGGTTAAGTAGATTGTTCAAGCCTACTTAGCTAGGAGCCAGGATTTGAAACTGGGTAAGCTGAGTCCAGAGTCTGCTCTCTTCACCACCACCTGTTCTGCCTTTCCTCTGGGCTCCAGGCTCATATATTCCAATGCATACTTGACATCTGCACCTAGATGTCGAATAGGCATCTTGGAGGTGAACTGAATAGTACGTTGGACTCCTGCCCCTTAATTTCACCTTAATCTTTCATTCCCCGGTCCCACATCTCAGTGTATGGCATCATTAACCCATAGAAGTCAAGTTCAAATTTGATTCTACTCTTTCCCCATTTACACTAGTCTTCATTCTCATGCCCAGCCAATCCATCAACAAGCCCTTTTGGCTTGACCTCAAGCATAGGTCTCCACTATGTTCATTTCTCTCCATTTTTTTTTACTACCATCCTAGTTCATGCAGAGCTATCATTTCATGTTACTGCAATTAAATTCTACCTGCTCTTTCTGCTTTCACTTTTGTAGTCTCCCCACAACCCAGCAGCTAGATTAATTTTTGGAACATAATCAGATCATGACATGGCCCAGTTTCAAAGTCTTGCAGGTGCCTCATATGTTCAAAATGCATACTCCTGTTCCTAGCCCACAGGGCCCAGCCTGACCTGGCACCTTTGTCTCTCTGCCCTCATCTCTTACCACTTTCCTTCCTCCTCCAGCTTGAGTCATGGGCCTCACTCCTGCTTTTCCAGGAACACCCCAACCCATGCTTGCATCACACCCTCTGCACCTGTTCACACTCCTGACAAAAATGGCAGCAGAAATGCTCCATCCTTGCATCTTCCCTTTCTCTAGGCCTTGGCTCAAACATCACATGCTCAGACAAGACTTTCCAGAATCACTATCTTTTTTTTTTTTTTTTTTCAAGACAGGGTTTTACTCTGTCACCCAGACTGGAGTGCAGTGGCACCATCTTGGTTCACTGCAACCTCTGCCTCCTAGGTTCAAGGGATTCTCCTGCTTCAGCCTCCCAAGTAGCTGGGATTATAGGTGTGCGCTACCACTTATAGATAATTTTTGTATTTTGGAAAAGACAGGGTTTCACCATGTTGTCCAAGCTGGTCTTGAGCTCCTGACCTCAGGTGATCTGCCCACCTCAGCCTCCCAAAGTGCTGGGATTACAGGCGTGAGCCACGGCACCCAGCCTAGGACTTTCCTGAATCACTAACTAATGTTGTCCAGTTGTCCCCTGATAACTTTTTATCACACACTATCCTATGTTGTTTGTGTGTGGTTTTTTTTAGACTGAGTCTCACTCTGTTATCCAGCCTGGAAGGCAGTGGCATGATCTCGGCTCACTTGCAACCTCTGCCTCCTGGATTCAAGCAATTTTCCTGCCTCAGCCTCCCAAGTAGCTGAGATTACAGGCACCTGCCACCACGCTCAGCTAATTTTTGTATTTTTAGTAGGGATGGGTTTCGCCATGTTGGCCAAGCTGGTCTCAAACTTCTGACCTCAAGTGATCCACCCACCTCAGCCTCCCAAAGTTCTGGGGTTATAGGCATGAGCCACCATGCCTGGTCTGTTTGTTTTTTAATAGGCTTTATCACTATTTAAAAATACTTCATTTATGTTTTATTTATTTGGACAGAGAGCTATTCTGTCTTGTTTACATTTGTATCCCCATTGCCTAGAATGGTGTTCAATACAGAGTAACTACTCAAAATATATTTTTAAAGGGATGAATGAATGAAATTGAGTGTACAGACAAGTGAGGTCAATCATGGTAGGTTGTTTGTAGATCAGTTTTAAGGCATTGCTTGAAACAGGGTAAGGTGGTTCATTCCTATAGTGGAGAAAGGACATTTTTAGCAAAGAAAACAAAATATTCAAAGAAATGAGCAGGTCTTAAATAAGTGACAGATAGAAGCTGATAACTATATTAATTCACATGATATAGAAAGTTGGTGACTACAGGAATAAAATTAGCTTATCAGAGCAGGGAATCATCACTTAGATGTTGAATGTCAAACTAAGGAGTTTAAATTTATTAATGGCTTCAGCAAATACTGAGTTTCTACTGGATGCAGGTCCTATTCTTGGTACTTTTAATACAATAATGAACAAGCAAGATATAATCTCTATCCTCATGGTATTTACAGTCTAGTGGAAAACTGGCATCAAATACGATTCCATAAGCATTAATACAAATTGTCAAAGTGTGTGCTGAATTAATATTTTGGAAAATTACTCAGTGTGTGTTTTGTCCCCTGCATTGCTTGTTCTCCTTTGGCTCGTACCCATTCAATCAGCTCGGTATTCTGCATGTAATGATGCAGAAAATAGATGAATTGCAGCATCCAATATATAACTAACAAAAATCTTGTCTTAGCTCTTGAGTTCCAAAATCCTAGTTTTCAGTAGGCATAGAATATAACTTCTGTCATGAATAGTGATTTGAGAAAATACTCAATGAATCAGAGCAAGGCTTTTCTGGCCCAGAGACTGGCAACTTTTCTCTAGGACAGAGGAGAGTCAGAGGGAAGTGATTAGAACTTAGGTGGTGTTGGGTCTTTGCAAAACAGAACCTCTACCCCATCTCGCTGCCCAGGCCAAGCTCCAGGGGATGACAAATTCAAGATTAGTTTGGACTTCATAAGAGCAGAGGAGACTGGTGCTCACTTTCTCCAGGCCCAGCCCAGCAAGTTGACCAACATCGAGTAGAAATGACTTGTAGATGCCTTTGCTCTTGGACTTTGAAACCTCACAGATTCCCCCTGTGCTTCTCTTTGATGCAGAAGAGCAAAGTGATCTCTAGGCATACAGGAGTAGTACTCCAATGAAGCACAGCATTGTTTTTCTGACAGCAAATCTGTCATTTGCCAAGGACTACCAACTCTCCAATTCTTTGATACCAACTGGGTGTCCAACAATTCAATTCAACTCTGACAACAATTACCTGGAGTTAGTCCAGACCCCACAAGTTATGGACTCACTTGCATAACAGTGCCTCCTCTTCACATGTTAGCCCAAATATGGGGCTCCGAGCTAACTGAACCACCACTCAATCAACTACAAATTTGGGGATTCCATGACCCTCCCTGTATTAGTTTGTTTTCACGCTGCAGATAAAGACAAACCCAAGACTGGGCAATTTACAAAATAAAGAGGTCTAGTAGGCTTACAGTTCCATGTGGCTGGGGAGGCCTCCCAATCATGGCAGAAGTCCAAGTGGCACATCTCACCTGGCAGCAGACAAGAGAAGAGCTTGTGCAGGGAAACTCCTGTTTTTAAAACCATCAGATCTTGTGAGATTTATTCACTGTCACAAGAACAGAATGGAAAACACCTGAGCCCTTGATTCAATTACCTCCCATCAGATTCCTCCCACAACACACGGCAATTCAAGATGAGATTTGGGTAGGGACACAGCCAAACCCTATCACTCCCCACCCTCCACCAGGTTTGATAATTCGCTGGAAAGACCCACAGAACACAGGAAAGTACTATACTTACCACTGCAGTTTTATTATAAAAAATACGATTGAGAAATAACCCAGTGGAAGAGATACATAGAGCCAGGAAGGAAGTGGAAGGTGGACAGAGCTCCCATGTCCTCTCTGGGAATGCACCCGCCCAGCACATCAGTATGTTCACAAACTTGGAAGATCCCTAAGCCTCATTGTTCAAGAGATTTTACTGAAGTTTCATTACATAGGCGTGATTGATTGGCCATTGGTGATTGAACTCAATCTCTAACCCCTCGGCCCCTCCCCATCCATGGTTAGGGGATGTGGCTGAAACACCCTGGTGATCAGTTCCATCCTGAAGCTCTCTAGAGACTAAGAATTCTCTCTTTAGCGTAAGGTCAGGTATGATTCAAAGGGGCATGTTATGAATAATAAAAGACAGTCCTATTGGGAAATTCTAAAGGTTTAGAAGCCCTTGTTCCCTGTGTAACTACTCTGCCAGAGGCAAGTCTCAAGCTGTCCAACTTGATGTCACTGGGTTCACCTGGAACCCAGGTGAACTCTCAGGAGGAAAGGGAGGGGTGAGTACTGACTCTAATATCATTTTAAATTGCTGTTGAATAAGGGTTCAAATTATAAATTAAAGCCTACTCTTCCTGTCCCTCCCTCCCTTCTTTCCTCTGTCCCTCCCCTGCTGCTTCTCTCCCTTCTCTATCTCTTTTTTTCTTTTGTTCACAGAGTCAACAGTGGCTGAGTGCCCATGTGTTTCATGGCGCTTGTCTAGTATATTTTTAAAGGGTGGCACCAGGGTGCTTCTGCTAAAATGGATCTGTTGTTCATGGAGGAGCTGGGGGTAAAGGCCCTGGAAGTGTGGGGAGATCAACAGCTGACAGGGATCAGCCCTTCCAGTCCAAGTGGGACACTGCTGCCTACATTACCTTCCTCACCTTCATCAGCACCGTGTTGTTCTTGCTGTTGCTCATTATCATCCACTGTTGCTGCAGCTGCTGCTGCAACTCCCCTAGATCCCGGAAGGTGAGACCCCAGAAGGGTAACGTGGCCCTAAACCTTAACACCATGACTCCCTGCCAGCCCCTTCCTGTTTGTCCTGCCTTGTAGCAAGTAACAATGCCATGCCTTGTGTTTACCTAGAAAAAATAATTAATTAAATTAATGGTGAGTCACATATTTAGAAAATAAGTTATTTGCAGAACTGCGTTTGTAGATTGAGATCCATTCCTATCATTAAGACTGATCTTACTATTGTAAATAGAGCTATATAAAACTACAAAGGTGTCTGTGGAATCCCAACTGGATTCTATTTAAATATCAATAAGAGCTGAGCCCTGCCTACTAACAAGAATAAGAAGATAATTTAGAATAGAATACAGCCATTCAAAGTGGCTGTACAATCTCAAAGTGTAACAACCTGGGACAGGGGTTATAGACCCAGATTTCACTAGAATTAGAGATGTGGACGCGGGACCCTTTCTGGCTATGAAACTCCTATAACTGAGTTATCAGTCCTCAGAATGTTGGGAGAACACAAAACCCTGAGTCCCAGCCAAATCCAGGGTCAATTTGTATCCTCAGTGACCTCTTCCTGAAAGATAACACCAAATGTTTAGTGTGGTATAACGGTCTCCTTCATCTGCCCATTTTAATTTGAAGAGGATCTGTCATTGAAAATAGAGTAAATTATGAAAACTGATTAATCTAAACCCACTGTATTCATATATTCATGGTAAGTTGAGAAATACCTTGTGTACTTGCTATTTAGAATATATGCAATGATTTGGAGAATTTATTAATAGCAGATGAGCAAATCAAACAGAATTACTTTATGATTTAATGTATAACATTTAATTGAATAATTGATTAACTTGTGACTTTAAGTTCAATGTATAAGAAAACTTTACTAAATTTAAAGATACTATTGGAACATTCAGTAGAACCTAATATTCACCATATTTATGTTTAATATGTTAGAGTTGCTTAAATTATTTTTGTTACACAGTTGAATGACTTAAAATGAAAACATGTACATTAAATGTATGAATGTAATTTTTCAACGTTTAAGAATTAAAATTAAGTTTGTAAACGGGCTCACACATTAATCAAAGGCCCCCTTGAAAGTGACTGTTCAAGTCTTATGTATTTATTAATAAAACAATGTGATTTTTATTTTGAATTTTAAAGCTTAAGGACAAATAGTTTTCTGATCTTATAACCTTAAATGGAATATTAGTTTATAAAAATCAAACTCATTATAAATAATCTTCTCTGGTCATAAAAACTGCCATCACTTATACCTAAAGCCAAGAATCACTTTCTTATAGTGATGGTTTAAACAGATGAAAACAGCAAGCAGATCTCATCACCTTTTCAGTGACATCCATCTAGAAAGGTGCTAGAGCTGACATACAGCAGTTTGTATTGGTTCATTAGAGCCAATGGGGTCCACTTTTCCCAGCTCCTCATTTAGAGACATCTAGTTGATAGCTTGAAATCTGCCTTGGTGGCAGTATTTACATCACAGAGATTGGTAAACACTACCAACAGAACTTCTTTTCCCAGAGAGCCGATTGTGAAACATTTACCAGCACACCAGTACTTCCAGCACTTTTTGCTATTTCAACACTAGAATACTATTTAAAGAATCACTGCATGTGATACATGATGTCAAAGAACATTCATATGGTTCTTATGAAACCTTAAGAAAGGGAGGATTATGAGAGATACTGGAAAGAAAATGTCTATAAGACCTGTGTGGTGCTTTGTAAATGGTCGTAATAGGAAGAGAGGAGTGGGTTGTATTTTCTCCCCTGGAATAAGAATCATTTCAAAGCACATCTCTTTGAAGAAGATTACAGAGAGAACATTTCACAATTCGGTTCCCCACCCTCTGTATTTTAAATGTCTCTGCTTCTGCTGTCAAGGATCTCAAGTGCCTTTTTAAAATTCCATATTACTAAGGTAGCTCTGAGTTCTGAATTCTATCACTATTTACTGGTGCAGTTAAATGAACAGAATAATAATTGAATACCAGACTCTCAGTCACTATCTTGCAAAAACAAAAGCTCTGCAGAGAGCTGGAGAAAAGCGTGCTTTAAAACTGAAAAATGTCTTCCACTTTGCAAATTTGTAGATTCGAGGCAGTGGGATTGAAGACCAACCTGAGGCTTCTACAGATATGTGGAAGGTTCACATAAGAGTTTCTAAAGGGTACCAGGGAAGTAAGTAGAGGGAGACCCTAAAGGCATGCTCCAAATATTATTTTCCCCACAAAAATAAGCGTTCTGCAGAATTTAAAGCTTATGTCACAACATGATGTAAACACATTTCTCATCAATATTGTGACAAGTATTTCCCTAGATCTCAGAGATATGAAAATGAATAATGTAGTGTTTCCTCAGATCTCCATGAATAAAAAAGTGAGTAAGACTACCTCACTTTGCACACCATAGTTGGGAGAGACAAAATCATAAACAGATTAATTGGAGTACAATGTGGCCAATGCAGAAATTCAGCATTTAGAAGATACCATGGAAGCCCATGGAGGGGCATGTGACTCAGCCCTGGGTGAGCAGGGGCAGCTTCCTGGGAGAGGCTAAATTTAAGCTGAATATTAAAGAGTAGGGGTAAACCAGATACAGTGTGTGTACGGAGTAGGAGGAATTACAGGCAGAGGGATGAGCATGAGAAAAGACACAGAAATGAGGAACAGCAGAGTGATTTGGCCTTAGACCCTTGGCTGAAGGGTAGATGGGGATAAGGAGAGGAGGGTGGAAGCCTCAAAGTTTTCAGTGAATTATCAAGGAGTAGGGAAATGCGAGTGGACCATGCTGGGTGCAGGCATAAAGGAGGTAGACTGTCTATTGAGTATTAGGAAAAAATAATAAAACTAATTCTAAACAATTCCAAAGATTCTAAACAATGACAACACACACCTCTCTATCAAGGTGGCTACTCTCTATCAAGGTGGCTACCCACTAGCACCACTGCATGTTTTTCTTGAAGGTCTGGGGCCAGGAAGTGATGCAGTTGGACTCCTGAGTCGTGCAGATCTGGAGATGCTATAATAACCGAACCTGGGTTAGCCTAACTGACTCCATCTTAGCTGCAAACCTGACAAGCTCTCTCAAGCCTCTCCCTCCCTGCCACTGCCCCTCAGGTGCATTACTGGGTCATGCTGCACTCAAAGCTTTGCACCGTTAAGAGTGGTTCACACTGTTCACAGCATCTATAACCATTGCGTCCTGCTTGGCCAGTCTATCTGCTATTGTGAATACCCTCCTTGGTGATCGATTGTATGGAAAGTTCTCCCTGCTACCCCCCTTAGTGATTGTATGGAAATACCCTTAGCAACAAACAACCCTGGGAACCACCTGCCCCCTGGTTACCAGCCTCCTCCTACTAACTTGCCAGTTCTGCTTCTGTTAAATTCCTCTTCAGCTAGGCTGCCCCCTCTCCTACCTAAATCAAGGTATAAAGGGAAATCAAGCCCCTTTCTCGGGCCAAGAGATTTTGAGTGTTAGCTGACTCTTGGTGGCCCTCTGAATAAAGGACTCATAATTTGAACTCAGAGCGTGGCGTTTCCTTCCAACTCGCTCAGTTATTACAATGCCAGCCTCAAAATCTAAGTGAGAGAACATTTTCGTGCATCCCCACACCTCATCCTAGGCAGATAGAGAGTGTCTCTACTAAACATCCTCAAAGTACTGAGCACTTTTCCTTCATAACCTGAGCAGTTTGTAATTATATCCACCACTGAAGAGAGAGAATGCAAGAGAAAACCACAGGTTTTCAGAAGATATATAGAGTTTGGGACATGTTGAGTTTTATTGGCTTGTAGGAGATCAGGGAGAGATATACGGCAATAAGACATGGACTTGGGACTAAAGCTGTAGGTTCAAGAATCATTAGCATAGAAGTGATAGTTAAATCCTTGGGAGCGGACAAGGCAACCTGGGAAAAACTGAGAAAGATAGTGGGCCAAAAATGGAATGCTAAAAGCTGAATATTTCGTCAAGAGATGTTGGAACAAGTACATATATATATAAAAGATGATGAAGAAATGCTCAGAGGCCAAAGATGAGTCTGGACAACACAGAATTGTGGCAAGATTTTCCAGGACCAAATGAAGAGAAAGAACTGGAGATAATTCAGAAAACTAAAAAATAGGTAAATGTCTATAAGGAAAAAGTGAAACCCATGGCGTGTGTATTGGAAGGAAGTTGGTGGAAAAATGGGGAGGTAATGACAGAAACCCTGGAAAAATTTGGGAATGATGGAATCCCATCTGTATTAGCCAGGGTTCTCTAGAGAGACAGAACTAATAGGATATATGTCTTTATGACAGGCAGTTTATTAAGAATTGACTCACACAATCATAGGTAAAGTCCTACGACAGGCAGCCTGCACGTTTAGGAGCAAGGAAGCCAGTAGCAGATCAGTCTGAGTCCCAAAACCTCAAAAGTACGGAAGCCGACAGTGCAGCCTTCAGTCTGTGGCCAAAGGCCCAAACGCCAAAGAACTTGGAGTCTGATGTTCAAGGGCAGGAAACATCCAGCACTGGAGAAAGATGAAAGCTGGAAGACTCAGCAAGTCAGCTTCTCCCACCTTCTTCTGTCTGCTTTATTCTAGCCAAGTTGGCAGATGATTGGATGGTACTTATCCACATTAAGGGTGGATCTGCCTCTCCCAGACTCAAATGTTAATCTCCTTTGGCAACACCTTCACAGACACACCCAGGAACAATACTTTGCATCCTTCAGTCCAATCAAGTTGATACTCAGTATTAACCTTCACAAGTCCACCCCTTATCAACTTGAACCCATATACCTCTCCAGATAAAGACAATAATAAAGTCATAATTACACCTAACGTAATACAGCTATCCTTTGTACAACTGGAAGCATGCTAATCCTTAAATTAAATGCTATTACATAAAGTTAACAATACTTAAATGCTGATATGGAGTCAAAATCTTATGATTTTGACACAATAAAGAAAAAAGGAAATAAAATGATATTTTCTTAGTACGAGTGTATACATGCACAAATATATCTTTAGCAAAATGAGTAGGAAATATTCATGACAATTGCAGTCCTTGTTTTTGCAACTGGTCACATGGTCATAGGTGATATTGATAACTACTTTTACTACTACCTATTCTGTATTCCTTTTGCCTTCAGCAAGCACTTCAGCCAGTCATGGTTTTTTTACCTGGTGGAATGACCCAAAACTTCATTCCTGAAATGTCTAGGCCATTTGCAGTCCTGTCTAGATTGAGTTGTTGTAGTTTCCCGTTTACCTTAATCACAGGGCATAGTAATACTAAGAGACATCCGTTATTAGTTCATTCACGCTGCTGATAAAGACATACCTGAGACTGGGAAATTTACAAAAGAAAAAGGTTTATTGGATTTAACAGTTCTATGTGGCTGGAGAGGCCTCACAATCATGGTGGAAGGTGAAAGGCAAGTTTCACATGGCAGCAGAGAAGAGAAGAGAGATTGCGCAGGAAAACTCTCCCTTCCCCCTGCCTTTTTTTGAGACAAGGCTGGAGTGCAGTGGTGCAATATAGGCTCATGCAACCTCTGCCTCCTGGGTTCAAGTGATACTCCTGCCTCAGCCTCCCGTGTAGCTGGGACTACAGGAGAACACCACCATGCCCAGCTAATTTTTGTATTATTAGTAGAGACAGGGTTTTGCCATGTTGTCCAGGCTGGTCTTGATCTTCTGGCCTCAGGTGATCCATCTGCCTCAGCCTCCCAAAGTGCTGGGATTACAGGCATGAGCCACGGTGCCCAGCCAAAACTCCCATTTTTAAAACCATCAGATCTTGTGAGACTTATTCACTATCACTAGAACCACACAGGAAAGGCCCACCCCCATGATTCAATTATCTCCAACCAGGTCCCTCCCACAACATATGGGAATTATGGGAGCTACAAGATGCAATTTGGGTGGGGACACAGAGCCAAACCATATCATTCCACCCCTAACCCCTCCCAAACCTCATGTCCTCACATTTCAAAACTCATCATGCCTTCCCAACAGTCCCCCAAAATCTTAACTCATTTCAGCATTAATCCAAAAGTCCACAGTCCAAAGTCTCATTTGAGACAAGGCAAGTCCCTCCTGCCTACGAACCTGTAAAATCAAAAGCAAGTTAGTTACTTCCTAGATACAATGGAGGTACAGGCATTGGGTAGATATAGCCATTCTAAACAGGAGAAACTGGCCAAAACAAAGGGGCTACCAGTTCCATGCAAGTCTGAAATCCAGCAGAGCACTAAAATGCTTTTTTTTTATAGAGATGGGGTCTCACTATGTTGCCCAGGCTGGAGTGCAGTGACTATTCACAGGTGCGATCCCACTACCGATCAGCACGGGAGTTTTGACCTGCTCCATTTCCGACCTGGGATTACAGGCATAAGTCACCATGCCCAGCCAAGAGCTTGTGTCTGATTTTCCATAATTTCAGCTCTTTCTCTACAGGCGATAAGACTCTCATTCAGGGCAATCTTAGAAAATGTTGGACTCAGTATCTGCTTCTGGAGCCAGGAGTTAGAATTCCTGAGTTTCATCATTTTCTTTCATCACTTTATCCAGCAAACTTGGGAGCAACCAAACAACTTCATTACGTTTCTTGATTCTCCACATATGGTCAAAGGTATTGTTGGGAAAAGTAGCAAAGGAGAAAGGACTTACAGAGTGCCTACATAAATTAGTTATGAGTAACATATAAACAAGGAACAACAAACTGCAGAAGGCCACAGGAAGCCTCTGAGGAGGAAGGCCTCTCCATGCCTCATGTTCCTGTGCAGGGTGACCTAGGCTCTGTTACTATAAACATTGTGCTCAAGGATGTAAAACCCCTTCATAGCACTATGATGTAGCCAGACTTGTAGGCCCGAGTTCCACCAGCTGCACATAGATAATAAACTAAAGAAACCACGTTTTTGTTTTGTGAAACTCCCAAACTGCCACTGTTATCAATCCTTAAGATGACACACCAGTCCAGCTCACTGATTCACTTCCAGCTCACTGATTCACTACACCATCACTCCACCCCTACCCTATAGATCAAAGTGATTGCAATAAATAAATAGTGTGGATGATCAGAGCTCGGGACCTTCATTGTCTCCTCCAAAGTAATAAAGCGATGGCTCCCTGGTCACGCTTTCTCTCTTAATCTGTGTTTTTCTCATTCCTTTGTCCCACTGAACTTGGGGTACCCACATGTGATGTAGAGCTGACTCCCTACAGGTATTACATATAGAGTTGCTAAACTCCTTGCTCTCCAGCGCAGTGAATCAGGAATATCAAATGCATTTATTTTGCGTAACTCTCTAAACAATTCACACCAAGGACTATCAGTGTTTTCTATACTATTTGAAGTAGAGTCCTTAGTATTTTTGGGGTCTAATCAGATTAGACAGCCAATTCCAGAAACCCTGAAGCCAACTAAAGAAATCCATCCGCTGGGCTCAGTGGCTCATGCCTGTAATCCCAGCACTTTGAAAAGCTAAGGCAGGTGGATCACCTGAGGTCAGGAGTTCAAGACCAGCCTGACCAATACGTTGAAACCCTGTCTTTAAAAAAAAAAAAAAAAAGAAGAAGAAGAAATCCATCCTTTAGCATTGGGAGAAATACATAAAGTAGATGACAGGGTGATGAATGCAGACAGCCACCATGCCATGTGTATACCTATGTAACAAACCTGCATGTTCTGCACATGTACCTCAGAACTTAAAGTACAATTAAAAAAAAAAAAAGATATCCATCCTTAAAATTTTTGAACCACTCACTCCAGGTACCAAAATCTGTATTAGTCAGGGTTCTCTAGAGGGACAGAACTAATAGGATAATGTATATGTGAAAGGCAGTTTACTAAGAAGAATTGACACATGATCACGCTAACAGGTAAAGTCCCATGATAGGCAGTCTGCATGCTGAGTAGCAAGGAAGCCAGTAGCAGATCAGTCTGAATCCCAAAACAAAAGTAGGGAAGCCGACAGTGCAGCCTTCAGTCTGTGGCCGAAGGCCTGAAAGCCCTTTGGCAAACCACTATTGTAAATCCAAGAGTCCAAAAGCCAAAGAACTTAAAATCTGATGTTCAAGGGCAGAAAGCATCCAACACTGGAGAAAGATGAAAGCTGGAAGGCTCAGCAAGTCAGCTTCTCCCACCTTCTTCTGCCTGCTTTATTCTAGCTAAGTTGGCAGTTGATTGAATGGTGCCCGCCCACATTGAGGATGGGTGGGCCTTTCTCAGTCCCTTGACTCAAATGTTAATTTCCTTTGGCAATACCATCACAGACAACCAGAAAAAATACTTTGCATCCTTCAATACAATCAATTTGAGAATATTAACCATCTGGTGGCTTAAGTGGATCTATGGGTCTCTCCCTAAGTCACATATTGAGCCCTTGAGGTGACAAGACCCCAGAGTTTTCCCACAGTGCAGTGTGGCGGGGAATATAATAGTCATGGCCCAGTGTGGTTGAGGAGCCTAGTGAGTGTTTCCCTTGCCTCAAAAACAGAATTAACCCAACAAAGAGACCCACCAGACC